CCATGACTAGCTCAGCAGCATCCTCTGCGGCTTTGTCAGGGACTAATGGGATGAGTGTGGGAATGCCAACTAGTTCCACGAGTTCCTCGGGCACTTCCGGGTCTACAGGTTCTAGAGGGTCTTTTAGTCAAATGGCAGGCTCGCAGTTCAGCCCCATGACCGCACGAGAGCGGAAGCTCAGAGAGATCCAACAGGTTGAGAGGCTCCGCCAACAGTTAGAGGAGGATCTGAAGAAAGCAACCAATAGAGAAAAAGAGATAAAAAGTAGAGCAACCAGACTTGATACGTTAGAGGCTAACAAGGCTGCGTTACAGGGATTGGACGAATCAAGTGTGTCTGACCCCCTGAAAGTGTCGAGGGACAACATGTTGTCACTGCACGCGCATGTGGACAGCAGGATGGACTTCATGCAAAGCACTTTAGACCAGATCCTGGATGCATTGACAAAGCCAGGATTCCGGCCACCAGCACAATCGCCGTTGCCGTTAACGGCGATGTCAAGCCCCTTTGCCGTACAAGCTGGCACACAACCAAGTGGTACGTCTGCAGCAGCAACACAGACTGTTGCATCTTCTTCTTCGGGTCCAGTGGTGATTGCTACATCACCACAACAACCTGTTCAGCAATCTGGACAGCAGCAAGGTCAATGGTACCCCAAGACCCCAATGAAACCGCCTCTTGCCTTTTCAGGCGAGAGAAAGGACGAGGAACTCAACACATGGTTGAGGACGGTCCCGGTTTGGGTGAAGGCCAAAATGACCTTGCCAGAGGATGAGGTGGTAACTGCGGCATCTTACCTAGAGGGTAAAGCAGCCAAATGGTTAGATGGGGTCGTTGTGAAAGCCGGGTACGGGCGGCACATGGCAGATTGGGCTAAGTCTTTGACTCTAGACCAATTCATGGAGATGGTAGAAGCTCGATGGCATAACCCACAGGAGGCTCAAAGGGCCACTGATGCCATTAACAAACTTGACCAACGCAAGTTCAGGTCAGTTAGGGAGCTTACGACTACCGTCGAGAGCCTGATCCTCGTCCCAGGCATCAACTACAGTGATCAGTTCCTCTTGACCACGTTTGTTAGATGTCTACCTGAGAACATGAGGAACTTACTAGCCAGTGAGGCACGCACCGAGTACCACTCATTTGAGACATTGTCTAGGAAAGCCTTAGACTTAGAGGCCACGCTAGGCAATGCTCAACCCACCTCAGGGAATGACTCAAAGGAGAAGAAGAGTCCCCAGGAGTGGAAGAAGAAGGGGGCAAAGTTGATGATGGTTGAGTCTGATGGGACTCAAACTGAGATTGATGAGCTCTCTGACCTGATGGACTACTCA